GTCGTGTTGCGTTCTCTACCAGGACGTAATATCCAGACGTAACAATATCTTTTATATCTTTTATATCTTTTATGTCTATTTAATAACAGTTAACAATAGAAAAACGTTTACTATAAAAATTTAAAGATAATGAAATGGAATGTGCGGAATTTTGTAGACCTTATCTTATTAGCCTCACCTGATTAACCTAAATTAACAATAAAGATATGATAAATATAAAGAGTAACGCCAACATGTACCCCATTTCTGGGTAGTAAAAAATGTACTTAAAATAGGTACCAAATTAAAGGCTTTGATGAGCTGATTACAAAAATATAAGTTTTAGAGTCGCCCAGTGTTCCAACACTATGGTTCAAAAAGGTTCCAAATTTTATATGTGCTTCTTTCTTTATGTTTCTTTCATTTCATTTCATTTCAAAAGTTGAATTTTATTTGATCTAACTTTTAAAATAGTTAAGCAAAAACAATTTCTAATGTTTTTGAGTAGGTTAAGATACATTTTCCTATGCACTTTATATTCCAAAATCAACTGGAATTTGATGTCCCAATTGAAATTTTCTACATTCGGTCAGTTTGGAACATGGAATTTATGGGAGCGGTGCACTTGGACACGGTGCATTTGGACACAGTCAATCACAGCACCGTGTGATTAGAGACATTTGTAGGGTCCCTTGGAACAGCGACTTGTGATTGGACTGTGTCCAATTGCCCCGTGTCCAACTGATATACACCCGAATTTATACCATTAAATTTTTCATTTAATTTTATTAAATGTAGCATTTTGAATTTTTAAAATCCGTTAAGTTTTGTTAAAGAAATATCAGTTTGAATGTAGTTTAAAATTTGATACCTGTTTGGATCGTAGTGTTGGAACGATACACTGAGCGGCTCTAAAACATATCTTTGTAATCAGCTCATCAAGACTTTAATTTAATTTTAAGTACATTTTTCACTGCCCAGAAATGGAACACATGCTCTATGGACCAGTAGCATCATTCTTTTATTAAAGTTAAATCATTGTATTTAAATAAATTATTGTAATTAAATAATTTTTTTAAATTAAATCATTTATATATAAAACTCAGATACCACAATAAATTCCTAAAGTACTCCCGAAATATTCTTCTTTCTTGAACAGTAATTCTTTAAAAATTCTGTAACGAAGCGTTACTAAGCCCGCGCCTGAGGGCTCGACCACACCGACACGCCCGAACATCCGACGTGTCGGTGTACATGACGCTTAGCGCCACTTTAATGGCCACGCGGCCTTCCGCTTACCTGCACGTGATCCGACGTCGCAGCGCCCTAGGTGGGGGCAGCGCGACGCGGATCCACGCGGGTATAAAAGCCGGGCGCTCCCGGCACCAGGAGGATTCCCGTCGCTGCGGCCGTCCCAGCCACAGCGACTACGAAGGTGCGCTCGCCTTTCGACGCCGTGCTCACGCGGCATCCCGACCTCCGCTATACGAAGGTGCGCTCGCCTTTCGACGCCGTGTTCACGCGGCACCTCGATCCTGCCGTGCGAATATGGGCTGCGAGGGATTGGGGTTGTGAGTCCGCCATCTCCGTCGGTCGCTGCCGACTCCCCCCCAGCTCACCTGCGCTCTGACAGGGTCATCCCGCGACCACGACCGCTCGTCCGAAGAACCGCGCGTCCGCCTAGTATAAGCCCGCGTCCGCCTAGAATAAGTCCGCGTCCGCCGATCCTCTGTTCGCGATCGCGCCCATCCGAAACTATCTTCGCGCACCCCTCCACCCGCGCCGCCGACCCGCCCGTCGTACCTCAGTGTAACGCGTGAATAAAAGATTATTTTGGTAGTCCGCAGAGTGACAATTATTCCCTCCTCCCGATCCTCCGATCCCGGACACCGGCGAGCCATCTAAGGCCTCCCCACGAAGGGAAACTCCTCGAGTAACGAGCCCGCGCGCACGCCGCACGCGACTCGTCAGAAATTAAGAGTATACTTTAAGAACGACTAAGGAAGTTATATGCATCATAATTGATTTCTGACAACTTAAAGTATTCATTTTAAATTACTTATGGGACAACAGATATATATTTATAAATTTTTTTATATATATTTTTTTTATATATGTATTATTTTTTTTAACAGCAAGTATTAGTAAATGTAAAATTCACTTAAGCAGTTGTCTACATTGTTTTTAATTGTGGAATACGCATGCGTAATATTACAATTTACATATTTGCGCATGATGATAGTATTATACTATTTTTCACGTTTTAGCCATTAACCGAATGGACTAAAACGTAAAAAGTAAGTGTGCATATTTGTATGGTAAAATAAAAATAATCTAGTGATTTCTTTGTTGGATATTAGGCCATGGATGCTTCCGAAAGGGAGCGGTGCACTTGGACACAGTACAATTGGACACGTTGCAAATGGACACGTTGTAAATGGACACGGCATTTGACACACAGTTCAATTGGACACGGTGCGTTTGGACACGAAACTTTTGGGCACCGTTGTTTTTGGACACGAAAGAAAATGCACGTCGTTCAGTTACACACCGTTCATTTGGACACCGTTCAGTTCGACACCGTTTACTTGGACACAGTTCAGTTGGACACCGTTCAAGTGCCCACTGTTCACTTGGACACAGAAGAATGCTCACTGTTCACTTGGACACCGTTCACTTAGACATCGTTCATTTGGACACCGTTCACTTGGACACCGTTCACTTGGATACCGTACAGTTACCCACTGTTCACTTGGACACAGAACGATGCGTGCTGTTCATTTGTACACCGTTCACTTGGACACCGTGGAATTGCTTGTCTGTTCACTTGGACACAGAAGGGTGCGCACTGTTCACTTGGACACCGTTCACTTGGACACCGTTCAATCGCCCACTGTTCACTTGGACACAGAAGGATGCGTACTATTCATTTGGACACCGTTCATTGGACACAGTTCACTTGGACACCGTTCAATTGGACACCGTTCATTTGGACACCGTTCAATCGCCCACTGTTCATTTGGACACAGAAGGATGCGCACTGTTCATTTGGACACTGTTCACTTGGACATCGTCCAGTTGCCTGCTGTTCATTTGGACACAGAATGATGTGCACCGTTTATTTTATCATCATTTAATTATGTATCGTTTGTTTATGCAATGGATATGCAACTGATGAGAAATAAAAAATAGTTTTGTAGAAAATATTTGTGTTTTTATTTCGTTTTTATCACATCCAACCACAACGCCATATGCCTAGAGATATTCTAGAGACTCTATAAACAACGACATATGATTGGATGTGTCCGTTTGTCAATGTGCGCATCTGGGACTCACTCCGATTTTCGTACTACTATTTGTGATGTAGAGTGTAAATTGTGGTTTTGATAATTATTTAGTTTAGCGGCAACACCTCCGATTTCGATG